ATATATATATATATATATATATATATATCAAGTTTATTTTAAAGTACTCTAACTTACCAATATTCCACTACAAAATCAACTTCAATACAAACTGAAACTATAACTAGTAAAGTACTAGATATCCGTATCCTCCTCACTCTTGCAAATTTTAATATCATTGACTCCCTTTGATCAAAGCTTTTAGTTTTACATTTTTCTTCGGTCATAACTGAGTCAAGATTCTTCTGATGAATATGGACATTTCATAGTTGTTTCAATATCATGCTAAAGCAGAAATGTAGCATCTTAAGGAAGGGTCATTTAAGAATTTATTGAATAGAAAACCATTGATCATATAGTAAAACTGCATCAGCTTTATTTATAATGAATTTAAAGAATATGGACTAAGATGTTATCCTCTATCGTAAAAGATAAAAAGAATAATCTATGCTACTCCAATTTTATTTGCTGTCTAATGAAAGTTAAGAAGACTTCTCAATGAATCAAAGAAAATTCAGCTCCTCCCGTTAGTGCTTTGCATGTCTAAGCTATTTCCACCCTTGTTATTGATACGCATCTTCATTTTATTCCTCCTTATTCTGGTAATGTCGCAGTTCCCATCCTCAAAAATTCTCCAATTCCTTTCCATTTTCTGGTCCATCTTGTAGCCTCAAACACTCAGACACCCCAATTAAGGTGTAAAGACAAGCTGAGAATTTTCTTTCATACTTCATCCTGAAAGTTTCTCTACCTAACTGTGAGTCATCAAAATCATATTTCTCTTCCGCTAACGGTCCCACCATCTCTTCTGCTATCTCAAATGGAGAAAAAGAGTAACTCAATGATCCACCAGTGTCCAAAAACTGAAAATCAGTGATGCCAAAATCACAGTCTTCAAACTCTCCCTTACCACTCACAATCTGGTTGTTTCCATCATAAACATTGTTAGCACAATCATACCCGAATCCAAAATCCTCCCTGCCACCCTCTTGGATAGAATTTGCTTCATTAGCACCACAAATATAGTCACAAGTAGTTATGGAAGAAGAACTATAACTAGTAGCACCATAATAACTTTCTCCAACAATCCCATGTCCAACCATATCTAAAATATTCTCATTATGAGGTTCTTCTCTTTGGTGATAAAAATTTTCTGGTTCTACTTCGGGTTTGGTTTGTTGCTCATAATGGTTACTAGGAAAAGGAGTGGTAACCATGCATGGAGAGGTCATGTTTCTAGCTTTGAGCCTAATAAGAAGGAGTTTAGCAATCTTTGGAGGAAGAGCAGGAACAGAAGGAGAAGACTGTGAAGGAAAGAAGTTTGTGCGAGTGTTGGGACCACGAAGCAAACGTGCTGCCTCATCATAAGCTCTAGCAGCATCTTCAGCAGTGTCATAAGTGCCTAACCAAAGTCTAATGTTCTGAATGGTGTCTTTGATTTCAGCCACCCATCTTCCTGAGGGCCTTTGGCGCACACCAATGTAACGTTTCTTGGCTCTTCTAGCTCCAAGTATAGCAGCAGTCATTGATGCAGCCTCTTCCCTTAGTTTTTCCCATTCAATGTTCCCTTCTTCTCTCTTCTTTTCCCCTCCTTCAGTACCCTCCCATCTTTTTCTCTTGTTCACCATCTTCCCATTCATGAGGCTTTGGTTTTGGTTTTGGTGCATAGCAGCATTGGAGAGCACACGCATTTATAAGTGATGAGAGAAGCTCTCTAGTTGATAGAGATCTATTTTGGGGTCTCTAATGCTTGTAGCTTCCCTTTTGTTCCATGTCTAATTCGGCTTTCTTTTTTACCTTATTTTTTTAACCTCAAAAACAAGCTTTAGAACAGTACAGAGCTTTCTCTTTCATTCCAGGGGGGAGATTACAAGACGTGTTTTACAATGGAACTGACTTTTGCATTGGCTTATTATCTTGCAGTAACTAGTAACTGTAGATCTCAGCCAGCTAGTAAGTAGTAACAGTTGAAACATACAGTAATCGATAATTAGATCTTAATGGCATAAAAGAAAAATTAGAGAAATTTTATAGGAAAATCAACATTATTGCATGCTGTTATAGGTTATGTATCAAGAGGAGCGTTAGGAATAGGAAACATCACACATATCTATTTAGCATAATGCTTCTATTTAGCGTATGCTTCAGTACCCTATGTCTGCTTCCACAGCATCTTTTCATTCTCTCATGTTGCATCGTAGGTTTTTGGTAAAACTTCATAAATTATTCTTACAAGTTTACTAGCAAGACTTGACAAATCTCTCCTCATGAAACTCACCTCTCTCATTTACGGTAGTTACCACTTATATAAGCAAGTGATACTTCTCATTTCAACCTTATATTTACCTTGTATTTAACATTATGAAAGAAAATAAATCTATAAGATAAAGACAATATTTTAATTATGAACAATATCTCAAAAGTAAGATAATACTTTTTTAAAGTCTAAATAATGTTTTAAATATTTGAATTTGATTTGTTTTCCAACATGTTCAAATAGGATCCAATAAATAAAGTATTATGTTTGAGTAGTGTAAAAAGAAAAACTTTGTTGAGAAAGATTTTTTAACAAGATTATTTACAAATAAAATTAATATATATTTTATATCAATGACATGATTATTCAAAATTATACTCTTATATACTTGTTATGACACATTTTTTATTATTTATTAAAATTTATTAAAAGTTACAAAATCACGAATAAAATCCATTAAATAAAAAATGAACTTATAAAATTTGAGAATATTTAGCAAATTTAACCAACGATCCATAATGTATTTAAAAGAGTGTCTTAAGAAATATTATTACTATTATTATATGGTATTAGATGTATTATATTTCAGGTAATTAAATTTCGAGTCTATCTTCTATCCGGTGGTTTCTCCCCTTGAACGTTGTAGATTTTGAATCTATAATAAGTTAAAACAAGGAAATATTTTTTGATAGATACCTCATGTCTAACCTGGACTTAAAAGGAAAATTATCTAGTTTATGGAGAAAAAAGTAAGAAACAAACTATAAAAATATTATCTCTTATTCAAAATGTTCAGATATTTTTTTTTTCCTTTGTACAATCTAAGTATAATTTTTTTAACTTAATTAATGATTTTGAGTCTCGAAAACAATATATGCGTTAAAATATATAGATGCCCATTGGTTCTACTCAATAAAATCCAAATAAAAACGTGTGTTTTCCAGCTTTCAGTTTATCTATATTAATTCTTTCACACATTTGGCATAAGCATATTACAATTTTTGACCCCATAAAACAAAATCGATACACCCATAAAGTCATAAACTCACTTTATTTTCCATCTCATTTTTCACTTCATTTCTTTTAGACATTGAACTTTTTTCCCAGCTTCTTTGGATTAAAATAAGTAAGATCAGTATCCGGCAAATGAGAATCTTTTGTCAATATCAAAAACCTTGTAGAAATCACCCTTTCAGTCACAAAAGCATATACTAAGCATTATGCGTGTACGATGATATCAACTGAAATCTACTCCGGAACACTATTTAATTATATTAAAATGTTATTTGCACCCCCTTCATTTTCTTATTTATCTTACACACATATTTTGTGTTAAAAAAAAATGTGCTTTTTTAAAAAAAAAGTTCTTACACACAGTTGGTCCATTTAAAGTTTACTTTCATGTTACATATTTTAACAAGAGTTTATAATCTATCTCGCGGCAATATCTTAATATTTTTGGTTTTAAAATTGCTAATATTTTATAAATTTTCCTTTGATATTAATTTCTATATATTATTAGTATAAATTTTTTTACACTATAATTAGTAAGAAATTATGTTAAGTATAACTTTTATAATAACTATTATTAAAGACTCCTATAAATTGGACAATAAGAGCTTTTTACACATTTAGTACATCCTATATTTATTCTTTTGTTTTACATTAAAGTTCACATTTTTTAAATCACTGCTTTTTTTTTTTTTTTAAGTAAATGATAAGTTTAGATCAAATATTTCATGCAAGTTAAGAGTTAATTATCAATTTCTTTGAAAATTTTCAGTAAGATTATGGATCGCTTATTTCTTTTTTAGTGCAAGTTTACACACACATTTTAAAATCACACACACTCGTAGAATACATTTACAAATGATTGATCAAGTGTATTAACAAAAATCAAATCCATTATACATAAAATATAAAATATCTTACGTACAAATTTCTTTCGAAAAATGAATGGAGCTAAAAGTACAAATTATACTTCATATTAACAAAAATCAAACCCATTATACGTAAAATATCCTGTGTACAAATTCTTTTGGTAAATGAATGAGGCTACAAGCACAGATTACACTTCGCAAAAGAAGAAAATTGCTAAAGAATCAACAAATAATTGAACAAATATCCTAGCTAGGGGCTGTTCATACACATGGAGCCCCTCAGACAAGCTAAAACTCAGATTTTTCAAGACATCAGCTACTTGGTTAACCTATTTGAAACATTGGTAACATTCCAATTTTTGGTTAATGTCTGCAACTTCAATAATAGAATTGACTAGGGAAGCACAATTATGTGTAGTAGAGCAACCTTCTTCGAGAAACTTGACTGCAATAGCATAATTAGATTCTAAGAAGTGATGTCCTCCCTAATGCCTTTCTCCTTTAATAGACAAAAACCATACCTAGATCCTCCATAATTCAACTTGTAACATTGTACATGACCCTAACATACAAGAGTACCCAAAAAGGAAGCCACCCAGGTGGTTTCTGACAACCCCTCCACAAGTAATGTAGTTCCTATCTTGTTGGAAAATAATTTAAATTTCTGAGATATTATTTAGATCTTAAAAGATATTGATTCTTTTAGGATATTATTTATAATTAAAATATATTATATTTATTTTAGAGATTTATTTCATCTTTTAAGATTATGATGTAAAGTTAATAAATAGAGACTCTTGAGATGAGAAAAAACACCAAATCTGTAAAGGGAGTCACCTCCTTAAATAAAAGAGGAGGTCATATGAAGGAGAATTTCTAAGTTTCGCAAGAAAACTTGTGAATGAGGGTTCCAAGTTTCGTCAGAAAACTTATGAGAAAAGGGTTTTCAAGTTTTATCCGTAAAACATGTGAGGAAAAGATTTTCAAGTTTTATCCATAAAACTTGAAGGGAGGATTTTTAGGATATATGTAATATATTTTGATATAGATAATGAACATCCTTGTGGACATATGCATGAGAGATTGAACCACGTTAAATAAATTTGTGTGATCTTTTTCTATTTATTTTTATAGTATTATTTTAATATATTTCTCATCATTATTGTGCGTAAAAAGAAGAAGAAGATTTCTTGTTCCCAACAACCTTTAACTGCACCATCGCAATTTAGTTTAACAATTCTAAAAGAAGGAGGGAACCACCTAATATTGGAAGCATGTAAGGATCCTACGCTTGGCGTGGCTACCCCATGCTCAATGTCCTCGCATAGAAAGCAACTCATGCTCTCTGTCGCTCTCACGCCCGGTGCCCCATCACTCGCACCCAACGTCACTATAATTTATGACGAACTGTATAATACGTGAGTTTCACACAATCACATCAAATTCCCAAGTATGAAGTTAATCGATAAAATCACTAGGATAATGCCATTACACACTCAATTCACACCACAATTTCACACAATACTTTGTTATCACAGAATTTCATGTGGCTCTATAAATCAAGGGTTTTCACATGATTCACAGACACTCGTAGACTCATGACCACAACACCCAATGTGAAATCAATCATACATACAACTCAAACATAGCATATCACGCTCATAAGAAGAGTACATGCCCTTAATTCCACTTTTCAAACCCAACTATGAATTTCTCCAAGAATTAGATACACAAGCAAAAAGGCAAACATAATCCCTAATCAACATATTAATTGACTCCCAACAAAGAAAACCCTCACTCCCCTTCCAATTTGTGAACACTTGTTGAAAGATGAAAATATGCTCTAGTTCCTCCTGCATTCTCCACTCCATGTTCTTCAGTTCAAAAGTGAAAAGATAAAAGTATAAATGTAACTCCCAAAAACGTAAATTCTTACTCTCCTCTCAAAACCATAGTAACTCATTCAGTTAAACTCTTTTAACTCTAGTTACAAAACTTTTTTCCTCATAAACATAATTGACTTATATTATCCATATTATAGTACACTTTTCTATCCCCTCAATTGAATAGTTGTACTCTTATAAATAATTCACTAATTTGAAATGGAACATAAACATATATGAGAAATGCATGTAACGTACTCTTTTGAATATATATTTTTTATATAGTCAAAATTTTTAAAACTTGTAAAATTTAGTGACACTTATATTTTATTTAATAAATGTTTCTCCTGATTATATAATTTTTAATAAATAATTAATTAGAGACAGTGCGTTAAAAAATTTACCAAAAAACCTAACAAACAAACACTACTAGAATTTCTATTATTACATACGACTTTTCCTGCGAATTTTCCATAAAAATTCGCAGGAAACGTTGTTCCTACAAATTTTTCTACAAAATTTTATCTACAGGTAATACCTTTGTGAATAATATATTTTTGCAAATTTTAAAATTCGCAGGAAAGTTTCCTGCAAAAAAAAATTCACAGGAAAATTTGCAGGAAACTTTCCTGAGAATTTTTTTGCAAGAAATTATGCAGGAATATTTTTTA